AAGAGTGTAAAGATGCCTGACGGTGCTGTGCAGTGTCCCTCCAGCCTTGGGCCTGCCTTCTCTGTGAAAAGGGGGAATGGCAGCGATCAGCGTGCTTTCCTCACACATTCCTCTCGGCTTGTCATGTGTGTATTTATGTCCCAGTGTCTGGGGCCAAAGATGGGCCTGGGTCGCCATGGCTGGTCTCCGTCGACAGGCTCCTGAGCCTTGGTTTATGGCTGGGTTTGGCAGACGTTGGGGCAGCGGGAGCCCGAGGGCAGCTGGTGTGGGCTGGCTGTCTGGCTTCCAGGGCCCTGGTAGCTGCAGTCCTCCCCCAAGGGCCATAGACCCTGCCAGAAGCCCCTGCAGGAGCCATGGTCACTCCCCAAAGAGGCCTACTGCTGAGTCCCGGGATCAGTGAGCGTGTTGAGCTGAGTGGCTGGGGGATCACAGGTGGGATTAAACCCATGTACAAGCTGGTGCTAAAGTAGGACGATTATCCAGGTTGTCCTCTGACAATGGAAGGGGGGCAGGAGAGTCAGCATCGCAGTGCTGGGTGTGAGGGCTCACCCAGCCCTACCGGCTTCAAAGATGAAAGGGGACCATGAGCCAAAAAATGCAGGCAGCTTCTAGAAGCTGGAAAAGGTGAGGAAACAGATAATTTCCTAGAACTTCCAGGAGAAAGGCCATCCAGCTGACACATTGGTCTTAGCCCAGTGCGACCCACTCTGATGCCAGACTTCCAGACTGAAGAAGGACAGACCTGGGTGTAAGCTGCCGTGTGCATCGTGTTGTTCTGGCAGCTGTGGAAACCGACGCGGGATGCAGCGACCTCTCCTTCCCTTCTCTCAGGCCTGGGTGGGTGGGGGGGTAAGCACACCCCTTTTGGACCCGGGGCCTTTACCTTCCCTTGTTGGGTTTCCTTGGCAAATAGTCCTTCAGTTAACGTTCCTCAGACATGACATGGAATGGCCCCCCACTTCCTGGCAGGACTGGAGTGAGAGAGGGAATGAAGGTGGCCCGTTCAAGGCGGGACCCTGTCTCCTGGCCCCAGCAGCCCGTGTCTCTGTGGGTACCACTGGTGTCATTATTACCTAAAAGCTAATTTATTTCATGAGAGAACAAGAGACAGAGAGGAAGAGATAGGCAGGCACCCCCTGCAGGGTCCTTCTGCCGTGCTCCCCCAGTCTCACCCACTCAGAACACAGGTACCCCCCCATGTACATACACCCTGTGTACTCAGGGGGGTTCTGGGGCACAAACCGAAGCCCTGTACCCTGCGGGTCTGGCTGTGTTACCGCAGAGCCACCTCCCGGCCCCCACGACTGCACTGCTGTTCCCACACCAAAGCCAAACACCAAGTCCCCTAACCCCTTCCTCTCGCAGTGCAGGACATGCTGGGGTGGGTATACACTATTTCTGTTATTTTCCAAAGCACGTCCTCACTTCCAATATGGTGGTGCTTTTCTGCAGGCCACAGGGAGCCCCGAGAGTGAACCCGCCCCAGTACACCAGCCCTCTGCGGGACGTGCCATGGCCAGACTCTCAGCCATCGAGCTCTGGGCAGGGGCAGCTGCTCTCTGGGCCCTCCCTTGGTGTCGTCCATTTCCCATGGACAGGCCAGTGTGGATCCCGGGAAAAGCAGAGGTGACGTCTAGTGCATGGACACCCCCGAGTGGCCCTGGGAGTGGCAGACATGCCCCTGTGCTGCCACGTCTCCAAGCTGCTCTCTCCCTATGAGGGCTCCTGCCGGCTCTGCTCCTGCTCAGCAGCCCAGCCAGGCAGGAGGCCTCTCACCTGGGGTCCACCCCTCTGCAGGCTACACACACGTACACGAGTCCCCGCCCTGAGTGGGTGTCGTCCCCAGTGACAGCAGCCTCCGACTCCTCGCAGCACCCTGGAGGGCTCTGCCTTGGCTGTGGGGACCCAGGGCCTGGGCAGAGGGACTGAGTGCTCTGAGCGCCACCCTTGGCTGCAGGGTCAGACCCGGGCAGTGGATGGCAGAGGTGCTGAGGAGGGGACAGGTGTCCTCTCCCTGTAGCATTTGCCACCTCTGCAGGTAGGTCATGCCCACTGCCTATGACAGGCCTAGCTAGTCACCTTCTTCTCAGGCAGAACTGAGCACAAGGAACACACACTTCAGAGCAACCATGGCAGGGCTGTGTGCTGAGGTTTAAATGTCTCCCCGAAATCCATGGGTTGAGATTTGGTTGTGACGGTATTAAGAGGGTGAAAACTTAATCCGACGATGCTGCTGAAAGTGGGAGCTTCAAGAGGAGGTTAGGATTAAAGTCACTGGGGCAGAGCCCCCACGGTTAAATCCTGGTGGGTTTATGAGGAGAGGGAATGAGACCCGCACGGACACGTGGACACAGACCATGCACTTCTGTCCTCTGCCACGTTGTGATGCAGCCGAGACCTTCAGCAGAGGTGGCCCTTGGACTTCGGTCCTCCAAAGCATAGGCTGGATAAATTCTACTTCTATAATTTACACAGACTCGGATGTTTTATTAGAACAGGGTGAAGCACCATGGGAGCCAGCTGGGTAGAAGGAGAGCCCAGGAGTGGAGGTCAGCTCTGTGACACCTCATGGGCACCAGCACCTCTGGGCTCAGGCCACTGCCCTGGAGAAGGGCAGGAGATACGTTCCTGTCCCAGCTCTGTTTAAGGCCTTTCGCATGAAACTCCATGCGCAGTTGCTCACCCACAACTTGGGAGAAAGATGCCCCTGCCTCCCTTGGAGGGTGGCTGGGGACAGGGCGCATGGGAAGGAAAGTGCTGAGAGCTTCTATGCAGAGGTCTTCCCCATGCCTCTGTGTCCACTCTTGGGCGCTGGCATTTGTCACCGCTGCAGCCAGGCCAGGGTGGTGGGGACAGAGGGCAGAACTAGTGAGATAAGAGCCTGCCTCTCTGGCCTCCTCCCTTGCTTCCTGTGGACCTCGTTCCGCCACAATGAGAGTCTACAGTCACTTTTGTTCCAGAGCTAACATGGAGTCTGATTGTTTCAACATCAAAGTAGGCCAGGGACAGAGTGTTCTCAGACTGTGGGCAGGGAGGGCTGGGTTTTATCTAAGCACAGGGAGGGGCATCCGCAGTCCCCTCCTTGCGGTTGATGTGAGCAGGAAGGAATCTCATCTGGGGAGTGCTCCAGGAAACAGCGCCTGGAGGGTGACGCTGGTCCTTTCCTCCTTCTGGCCCTGGCCCCTACCCGACATGGCATCCCTTAGCCCCGCTATGGAACTGCGGTGACAGATCCTAGAACCCCTTGACACAGAGCTGTGCACATATCCAGAGGTCTGGCTTCTGCTACTTACAGAGCCCTGCTGGCCCTTCTCTGCCAGCACCTTGGGGCCTACGCTTGGGCTTTCACATGCACAGCGCAAGCTTGGGGGAGCCCCCTCTGCAGCCCCGGCTCGGCCTCATCTTGCTGGTAGAAAGAGCTGGAGGGCAGACCCTGCCCCAGGTGCAGGTGAGGAATATGACCTTGTAGGGGCACCAGCTTTAGCTTGCTAAATCGCTGCAGCAAACTCCACACACAGGACAAGGCTGGAGCCAGGCTACAGGCCAGAGGATTGCTCAGAGTCCTGGTTTGTTGCATCCGGACCAATTAGAGGTGGTTTAGTTGGGGCCAGCAGGTGGTGTGGTGGTTCAGGCACGGGACTCCAACATTGCTGATCATGGCTGAAGTAGGACCTGGCAGCTTGCTTTCTCACCCCCCTCCCCACCCTCGAAACTCAATAATAATCATAAATAAATAAGATTAAATAAATAATTCTTAAAAAAAATAAAGGTGGTCTGGTCAATACCTGGTGACAAATTTTAACCTTTTCGTGAGCAGGGACAGGTTCTTTTGTGCCTAATTCAAATGACAAGCCAAATAGAAAAGGCCATTTCCAAATAAATCAGTCTTACAGAGCACATGCGTGCACACACACACACACACACGTGCATCCCCCCATTCACACGTGCACATACACCAACCCCCTCCCCCCCACACACACAGCAGATAGCAAATACAGTAAGGCCATCAGAGGTGAATAAGTATCACTAGACAGAAGAAGAAGGGAGGGGCTGGCCTGTGAGCACACCTGTTAGTGACGAGCCAACCCCTAGCATCGCGGGGGGAATCCGCCACTTGGTCCAAGACACAGCCTCTCAAAGTAACACTGGGATGGATCCCAGATGTCATCGGTGACCAGCAATGACGTCAAGAGCTTTGCCAATTGGACAGAGTTTCCAGCTGTGTCTGTCTTTTCAAGTGGATTCTCGAAAGGAACAAAGTCCCACGAGAAGCGGGTCACTGAGGAGCTTTGGAGGCCCGCGTTTTCTAGCCCTCAAGGACGACATGGCACCTCAGCTTTCAGACGTTCAAGTCGGGGAGGGGACTAGCTCTGCGCCGACTAGCCACCAACTTGTTTAGCTTGGTTACAGCAAATACCATGCAGTGGTAATTTATATGCTCAGAATAGAGTTCTAGGGCCAGCAGGTGGCATGGAGGTTATGGCACAGGATCCCACGTGGCCAACTGTGAGGTTCGAGTCTTGGATCTGGTGGCTCAAAGATCATGCTCTGTGTGTGTGTATGCGTGTGTGTGTGTGTTCAAAATCCCGAGAGGAGACTGGAGGAGAAGGGGTTGTGGCATGACTGTCCCCCTAGGGGATGATTTCTCGCTTTCTCTCTCTGGTGAGTACTTGCACCCGATAGCAAAAATAAAAACAAAACCAAAGAAATGTTGTCGGGGCATTCTAAATGGAGTTAGTACTGGCAGAGCACAACTACGTATAAAATACAAGCTCTTAGAGTCAGTGAGACTCTCAGTCCTGTAAGGACCAGGTTGACACAGCGGTAACTCAGTGCTCTACGATGCTGAACCTCCATGGCAAGGCCCCTGGTTCGTGTCCTGAGGTGTGTCTATACACACGGGGCTGTGCACCCGTGACCCAGACGGAACAGGTGCAGATGTGATGCGAAAGCCCTAATGGGGTTTCCCTCTCTCCCTCCCCCTCTCCCCCTTTCTCTCATGGAACGACAAATAAGTGAACTTAAAAAAAAAAGAAAAAAAAAGCACTGTAGGGCCAGCAGGTGCTTGGAGGTTAAGGTGCTGGACTCCCATGCGGCTGGTTGTGGGTTTTGAGTCCCAGGCCTGGTGACTTGAAAATCACACTGAGCATGTGTGCGTGTGTGCCCAAAATTCCAATAGGAGAATGGAGGAGAAGGGATTGCCATGTGGCCATCCCCCTGGGGCGTGACTTCTTATTTTCCCTCTCTCTCTTTCTCTTTCTGGGTAGCGCGCATGCCCTATAGCAGAAACAAAACAAACAAAATACAAAACATAAAACTGAATCACCACCGAAGATCATATGGAACGTTCGAAAAGATAGGATGGAACTAGAAAAGATGCTGCCGAAATGTTTTAGAAAAATACAGCGAGCCAAGCACATGGAGGAGCAGGCACAGACTTCAAAACAGTGGAGATGAAGCACGTTTTTATTTTATTTTTTTTATTGCTCACTTGAAACTCCAGAGAGTCTAGTGAAAAGGCTGCTCAGTCAAGGGGACCCTCCTGAGCTACCTGAGCAGGTAGACTCCCCACCGTGCACACTGTGTGGCCCTGGCTGGACTGCCACACGGGAGGCCTCAGAAAACTTGTCTCGGCATACTAAATGAAATCACATGAATTCCATAGAGGACGAGCCACTCATCTGAGGTGATCATTCTGAAGATGCAGCCCAAGCTCCACAGGTGCCTCAAATATGGAGCAGATGTCTGCAGAATTGCCAGGTGACAGGGAAGCAGCCCCAACAGCAATGGCGTCTTTGCACGCACGTCTCTCCGGGATAGAGCTTGCACACCCACTAGGGAGGGCCGGAGAGGATAGGCACAGGGGGAAGAGCACAGCCTGTTCAGTCTTTGGGTGAGGACGAGGGGCAGCAAGAGTCGCAGAGCTGCAGAGCAGGATGTAGGGGCGGGGCAGGAACCACTGTGCAGTCACCCTTCCTTCTCTGTGCTCCCAGGCCAGCTCCTCCGCCTCACCTGACCCCTCTCCTCGCTCGCCTTAAAACCAGCCTTTTGTTCCTCCTTTCTTCCTGCTTGGCTCATGTTTTCCTCCCTGTGTCTATTCACCCTCTTCCCTCATGCTGTTTACTTGACCCCTCGTGCCCTCTGCACAGTCTTCCTGTGGGAATGGGGTGTATTGCACTTGCTAAGTCTGCACGGGATTGTTGCTTCCTGACCTGTGAAGTCCAGTGCATTAAACAGACTGTGCACGTAGCCTCTCTCTGTCCTTGTCTCTGCCTCTTTCTCCCTCTCTCTCACACAAAAGCGAAGAGACATCTTTATGGGGTTGGAGGAGAGGCAGCTCATTGCCCCTGCAGGCGTGTTGGCTATGGGATTTTTCTGGAATTTGGCCCAAGCAAGAAATTGGATATGTACAAGGAGGTGCACACAGGGTGCCTGTCACACTGCTGATAGGGATGACACCTGACACAGGCGCGTAGGTGCTAAGACGGGCTACAGGCCAGCAGGTGGTGTGGTGGCTAAGGCTCTGCACTCCCACTTGGCAGACTCTGATTCAAGTCGTGGACCTGGTGGCTTGCTTTCTCACTTTCCCTTTCTCCCTCACTCTCTCTAGTGAGTGCACATGTCCTTATTATACCATATTGAAGAAGAATGATAATGACAAAAAAATTAGCCCCTGTCCCTTCTTTTTATTTTTTTCAAAGAATTACTTATTTAGGGACCACCAGATGGTATAATGGTTACATTGCTGGACTCCCATGTAGTCAATCATAGTTCAAGACCTGGACACTTGGGACCAGCAGTTAGCATAATGGCTATGTCGCTGGACTCTCACAGTCAACAGTGGTTCGCGTCCCGGACCCGGTGGCTTAAACTCATGCCGGGTGCATGTGCGTGTGTGCCCAAGATCCCGAGAGGAGAATGGAGGAGAA